AGGAGCAGGAGGCCCAGGAGGGCCCGGGGGTGGCGGAGGGCCGGGGGGCGGCCCCGGAGGTGGAGGCGCGGGTGCCGGTGGCCCTGGCACTGGCGGCGGCGGGGGCAGCCAGCAGAGGAATCCGGGTGGCGGGGGCGGCTCCAACCAGGGGTGTCCCCTGCACGCCAAGGGTTCGGGTTCCAGGAAGGATAGGAGAAATAGAAAGAATGCCAAGTGCACTTGCACCAAGCCACCCACGTTACCTTCGGATATGCCACCTGTTGAGGAGATAGATGAGGTAAGGCAACCACATGTGTTATTTTGAAAGGGAAGTCAGGGCTCTGTAACTCACCAAATGTATCATACGGTAACAAAAAAAAAAAGTTTTAACATAGGTAATCTCTATTAAACCAATTTGGAACATTCTAGCAACAATTTGCAAAAACAAACCAATGAATTATTATCCCAAAACTGTCAATAATTACGACTTGCAGTAAAGTAAATGATAACAATGTTGAAAGGCACTTTTGGAATAAGTTACAGTCCCCCGAGGAAAATTTGTGTATGCGTGTTCCTGATGAAAATTTAACATTAACTTGTACTTTTCATTTTAGGAGGGAGAGTTATCAGTGTTTGAAGATCCTGTTCCAGCAGAAGATCCAGTGAATGAATTTGATCCAGACCCTTACATAGATCCTGATAGGAAAGGAACAAAGACTGGTGTGTGTGATCCTAGTCTTTACTCGGCAGCTGAATCAGGGAAACTCTTTGATCGGATACCAGAAGGAGATCGAATTAAAAAGACTGACCAAGAAACTAAACGAGAACCGCCTAACCAAAGCCAAGGCCAACAAAATACCAATAATAAAGGCTCTCGCTCAGGTGGCAAGAAAAATAAAGGAAATCAAAATACGGACAGTCAGAATAATTCTCATGACCAACAGTCCCAAAACCAACAAAAACAGCGGAATCAACCAAAAGGTCAACAAAACCAAGGTCATGAACAACAGAATCATGATCATCAAGGCCGTCAGAATCAGAACAATGATCAACAAGGGCGGCAGAATCAAGGTCATGACCACCAAGGCCGTCAAAACCAAAGCAATGATCACTCAGGACGTCAAAACCAGAGTCATGATCAACAAGGTCGACAGAACCAAGGTCGAGAACATCAGGGACGTCAGAACCAAGGCCGAGAGCAGCAATCAGGAAATCAACGCAATCAACAAGGAAACAAGAGAAATCAACAAGGAGGAAACAGACATCAGTCCCATGACCAGAGCCATGTTCGCATTGACAGCATGACAGTGCGCAACCGGAACACATGGAAGCAGGGGAAAAATAACGGGAGCAGTACAAATACTGTAATTGACAATAAGCGGAGTAGTATATCGGTAGGTGTTATTTAGCTTATAAACCCTTATCACATCATCAGGATACCAAAATTCATTATTATCCTTAGCCTTACATACAACGTTCAGGATACCAATGGTACAAGTGCACTGTATCAAAATTATTTTGCGTCTGTTTGGAAAATAACCCAGCTGCATTTTCTTGTTTTACAGGATTCTGGTGAGTCTCTTGAACTTCCATATAAGATTAAAACAATTGACAGTACAGGAAGTAAATCTCCAGCCTCGAGTAATTACAGTGGAGTTGTAGACTATAAACAGCTACCGTTGTTCTCAAAATGTTAGTAAGCATTGCATTTAGTGGACCCCTCATTGGGCTTTGCAAGACCGCGGGAGCTGGGTCTGGACTGGTGGTCTTCTTTCTGCTGCTTTGTGCTGGTTTCCTTGTCTTCTGTCTCTTGTATGTGGTACATGGGCTGGTAATTATTTGTGCTTGTGGGATATTGCTGTCTGCTCAGGTAATATCAACTTTCACTATTCTCTCATGAGGCAGTGACTTGCATTCAACTTAATATAGTTATCTGGTCCTGTGCACGTTTTATTTTTTCCTGAGACCTGACACAAGCTATCTTTCTGTACCTACCTACTTATATTTTTATTTATTTTTCTGTTTTGATAAGAGCTTGTTTGTTTTTATTTAATCTAAGTCTGGCAATTGCAATGTTTTCAGATTCTCATGAGCCGCCACCAGCCTGTCCTCCCCCACCAATCAGGATGTGGGAAACATCGTTCAGCGAAGTGGTTGCTCGGGGAGAGCACACCTACTCTACAGTAACCCGTATTGGCACCAAAGCAGGCCCTGGATCTGGAGCTGGAATGAACATTAAGACCGACAGCCCTTTAGTTTTATCATGTAACCCAGGCAAAGATATTGTGCCCAAGTCCAATTCGTCTGAAAATGTATCTAATAGATCTGTGGACTCGAGGAAGCTTCCTGTGTTGCCTTTTGGAATGAGGGATAATGTTTTCAAGGCACCTTGTTCACCACATGATGGAGCTCATCAGTCCCCTGAACAAAAGAAGGAATTGGGTAAGTTTTGTTTATTTCATTCTTTACAACTTAATTTTTGTTGTAGACTTGATTGAACCCTCACATACATGTTTTTTAAATTCAGGTCCTATTGGCCCCCGCAAAAAACAATCTGGACAAAACACTGCTATTATAGCTCCATGGACAGAAAACGGAGCTTCAAGCTTGGCACCTCAGCCCTCTTCCCCTCCTGTAGCCTCATCAATATATCTTTGTGAGGGCCTTCGTGAAGGTCTTCGAGATGGTGGACTCAGCAGGGAAGATCTCAGAGAAGGTCGTAGAGAAGGTCTGAGAGACGGTATTAGAGAGGGTTTAAGAGATGGTCTAAGAGACAATCTCAGAGAGGGACTTCGAGATCAATTTGAGCCATACTCAACACCTGCACTGGATGCCAGAAAAGAAGACCAATATACACGATATCAAGTGGACAACCATTCTTCATCTAGTGTGGCCAATGAGTATTCAACCAACCAGCCAGCACAATATGACCCCACTTATGAACACTATCATGAGGGTCAAGGCCATTACAGAGATGGAAGAATGCCACAGCAAGTGAGCCAGTATGAATCTCGGCCTCCCTTGTATGTAGGTCCTTCGTCATATAACATGAACCGAGTTCTTGGTCACCACGCTGATCATGCAATGGAACATGCCTTAGACCTCAATGGTGATCTTGCTCAAGACACTGGTGTAGAGCAGCATGTTGAGCAAGGGTTCGATCAAACATACGACCAATCCTACGACCAAACTTATGACCAATATGATCAAACAGCATTGAAGCAACAGGCATCTCAGCAGCTGATGGATGGACAACATCAGATGGATATCCTGATGCAACAATTCCAGCACCAATCAATCCAATCTCATCCCTCGTATTCTCAAGTTCATCCTCTGCAAATGCAACAGCAACGACAAATCTCACAAACTCATCTTCAGCAACAAGTTCCAATGCATGTATATCAACAGCAACAACTTGCAAATCAAGGCCAGGCTGTAGTCTTGATTAATAACCAAAGAAGTGTAAGTTTTCCATAATCTCTGAGTTTTACACAAGGTGTCCTCATAATGAACGTTTCACGAGGCGACGCTGGTGTTAGCGCCTGCTACGCGCCGGGTAGGCCGACCCGCCAAGCAGCTGTGTAAAGACGGCGGCCCGCCCTGAGCGCCCGAACGGAGGGGCTTCAGGCAAGAGAGCGCTTGACGCCTCGGGGGGCGTTCATTGTGAGGGAACCTTCGGGTATCTCTACCTTGTATTTCCCTACATTTTCCCCGTGTTATTGCTGTTTCAGATGATAGGAGATGCGGGCCATGCCGGCATGTACATTCCAGGCCATGTGTGGCTAGAACAGCAAACTGCCCAAACTCAACAGCTACCTTTGTCACAGCAGCCACAACTTCCCCATCAAATCGCACAAATACCTCAGAACATGACGCATCACATACCCCAGTCGTTGCCTCAGCATTCTCCTAAACCAATACCAATGCCTCAGCAGTATTCTCAGCATCAATACTCTCAGCCGCCAACCGTGTCACCACAGGCACAATCTTTGGCTCAGCAAATGCAACAGTTTCATATCCAACAACAGCAGCAACAACAGCTTCAGCAAACTCAGCAGCAGCTTCAGCAAACTCAGCAGCAGCAGCAGCAGCTCTCTCAACCTCAGACCCAACAGCTTCATCAGATGCAACCATCACCATCGACGCAGCAGCTAGCTCAGCAGCAGCAGCAGCAACAACAACAGCAGCAGCTTCGCCTACTCCAAGAGGAACGTGAGCGTGAACTCGAGAGAGAGCGAGAGAGGGAGCGTGAGCGCAGGTCCAGCTCCTCAAGAGGCACTCTAGAGGAGGAAAATCAGGCAGGCAGGTTTGGAGGTAAGCATTGGCCGTTGACTTCTTTTTTGTGTGTCTGTCTGTCAAATCTCGGCTGTGGACACTGACTTGTGCGTTCCCTTGCTCCTCCTTCCAGACGGTTGGCAGCGCGTGGGCTCTCCCTGGGAGCACAACAAGGTCCCGGCCCCGGTGGCCAGCGCCCCCGTCCCCGCTGCGCCGTCGCGCGCGCCCGGTCACCCGACGACCCCCATCCCCATTACGGGCCCGTCGAAGGCCGGGCCCGATGCCCCGAGGGACTCGAACGGGGAGGCGAGCTCTGCGCGCAGCGGCTCCGGGTCCGTGTGGGGCGCCGTGGGCGAGTCGTGGTCCTCGGAGGCGTCGGCGGGGACCCCCGCGCCTCCCGGGGCTCCCGGAAGCGGCAGGGCGGCCGCCACCGCCAGGGCGTCCTCGGCCACGCCCAGCTCGGCGGCCGGGACCGCACCCGGGCCCCTCGCCGCCAGCACGCCGTCGAGCGTGAGCACGCCCACGAGCATTGGCGCCTCCGCGGGGACCCCCGTGGGCACCCCTGTGGGCACCCCGGTGGGCACCCCCAGCACGACGTGCTTGTCCACGACCTCCTCCAGCATCTGGTCCAGTGATTCCCTGATGGGCATCAGCCGACCCTATGCCCGGGAACGCACCAACTCCAGCGGCCAGAATGTCAACCAGTGCCACGAAGTAAGCCGACATGTTTGTCTCTTTTTTTTTCTCTCATTGCTATCACCTTTCTCAGAACTTGAAGTTATCCTTTTTTTCCCCTCTGTTCCTCGTTATTGCAGGAAAACACATTTGATCCATTCCGCTCTCGCACCATCAGCAACATTTGGAGCTCACAAGCGAATGGGAAATAATTTTGTAGCAGAGATGGGCCGAGGTCGCCAAGCACAGAAGGATTTTGAAGACTGGATTGTTAGGACTGCCAACGATGCATCAGAAAGACTGTTAGAGGTGTATGAGTTCAGGCATTTTCTGTTGACTTTGAGTCTTTGTTGTCTGGTTCTAGTCTTGTCATTACTTTTGAGAAAGGAAAAGAAAAACTTCTTGTCACCTATAAAAAAGCTGAAATGTCAGAGAGAACCCAGAAAACTTTCTGAAGGTTTTTGAAACACTTTATCTACCTAATTACACCCCACCAGAGGCATTGTGGTGGGCCAAAATGCGAAGTCATAAGATTTAATATAATCAATCTATTGGCCACAATATTTAACTTGTTGTGACATATTATTTTCCTTGTAAATGTCTTTGTGATACTGTTTTAAGTGTTAGGCAAAAAATTATTGTAAGTGTAGATATTATCATACAAATCTTATATTTATGTATTTGTCTTCCTCTTAATGTATATTCTTGATGTTTTTTATATTTCTACTTTCAAGAAGGAATAGTCTCCTCCTTGTATGTTTCAATCAAGACCGCTTATCCTGCCTGTGTTGTAAACGGCAGCTTCTTCGTTCCATCAACATTTGTGTTAATTTTGTAATGGAACTAGGTATTCCATTGAACGTGGTGGATGCTCTTGAGATCACCTCATTTCCTTTCTTGCAAGAAAAAAAAAAAGCAAGTATTTTTATTTTGTTGACTGCCATTGTACTGTTTTTGTTGTTTTCTCTTTTTTGTGAGGATTAATTCTGTGATTTTTATTTTAGTACTCATTGTAAGTTCAGTTGACTTTTTTCCTTTCGAGTCGAACAAAAAGTGGTTGTGAGGCCCTTTTGCATTCAGATAGCTCTTTAATGTGATTTTCTTTGAGAAGTTATGTATAAGTATCACTACAGTGT